CCCCCACATAGGGGATCGATCACCTAAGCATGGGATCGATCCCTTCATAAAAAAGATCGATTTTTTTTCTTGGCAGAATGATGTCATGGTTTAAAAATCTAGAAAAGTGATCGATCCCCCCATCTAGAGGATCGATCACCTAAGGAATGGATCGATCAAGTGTGTTACCCGAGTAAGGCTTTTTCACGCACAATTTGAGCTATTTCATAACTGACCTAATCGATCCCCTACATGAGGGGATTGATCCTTTGATGCCTAAAAAACCCTAACGGCTATTTTTTTTGTCTGATATTTTACAGGTTTGAAGCATTAAATGTAAGGCAACGGGTCGTAACTCCTTCCTACATATAAATAAATTTTTTTACTACAGATTAAGAGTATCAAGAGCTAAGAAAACTTATTGCCTTCACCAACTATCTTGTTCAAGCATTCAAATTAGTTCAAAAGAAAGAAAAATGCAAAAAATCCTTCTTGTATCAGTTTTTCTCTAAATTCTCTTGTTAATATTGTTTTGTACTTCAAGCTAGCAAACACCCAATCTTAGAGAGGTTCTTTAAGTTTGCATAACACTTCAAAAACTTTGTATTGTGAGTTTGTGAGCTTAAGGGGGAGGATAACCCTTAAGAGTTTGTGGTGTTGATTGTGTAAAGCTTTGAGAAGCTAGGTTGTATCTTTCAACACATAGTGGATTGAACTCCTTGACAAGTGAGGCTAAGGGAGAGGACATAAGTACCTAAAGAAAAGACCGAACCTCTATAAATCTTGGTGTCTAATTTTCTATCTCTATCTCTTGTTTACTCTCATTTATTATGATTATTTGCTTAAAAAAATTATTTTATAGAATTTGTGCTTATTAAGTATTGATTATAAATATTTTATTATAACCAATTCACCCCCATTTTGGTTTATTTCAAGTATTTAAGCTAACATCCAATATTCACAAAGATTTTAGGTTCACAAGAATTTCAAGATTTACAAAGGGTCCAAGATTCACAAAGATTTCGAATTTAGAAAAATTTCAAATTCCCAATAATTCATATTCCCAAGAATTTCAGATTCTTAGGAATTCAAATTCACAAGAATTTTAGTTTCGCAAAAATTTAGATTTGTAAGAATTTCAATTTTGCAAGAATTTAGATTGATAAGAATTTCAGATTTCGTCATTATAAAAAATTCGTAATGATAATTTCTAGGAATCCACATTCAAAATTTTTAAATTCACATACAAGATTCAAAGATTCACATTCAAAAGATTTCTAGAGTGATATTTATGAAACCATCCAATTATACATGAGATTGAATTTAGGAATGTAGGAATGTATGAATGCAATAAGGAGGATTTACCACATAATAATTGTTAACACAGAAAATCTTTATGGAATTAAAAGTTAATTCTTACGAAATCAAATATTACATCCATAAAAAGTCTAAAATTTATTGAGGAAAAAAAATCTCTAATTTTTTTATATTGACTTTGCACTTTATTAAAGAAATCTAATAGTTCTTGGCTATGTTATCCCACTAGTGACAGCCTTGTCTTCCATTCTTCAACATTTTTCTACCATGTCTTTGATTTGTAAATAGGTATAGTGATTTGGTCAAATAAGTACTCCAACTGGCCATGCTTTCTCACATATACTTCCTTTACTTGCTCACATTTTTCATTCACAATCTCTATTTGTATTCCAATTTCAACCACAAGAAATATTTAGCTTTTAGATGTGCCTTTGTGCCTCAAAGAGTGCTTCATCACTTTCTTACAACTTTGCTTGCCATTGTCCATTTTCTTTTAAATGTTGGACCAATTCTCAAGTGGTGGATGATTGTGTTATGTTAAAATCAATGAACAAACTCTTTCATTCATCCTTTTTCATGTTTGAGTGCTTGAACTTATTTTTTAGCCTTTTGTTTGTGAGTTTCAACTCTTCAGGTTTCCTTTTCAGGCTAGTAAAAGACTTTACTAGGCCCTTTATAAATGTAACTAAGATTCTTGTTGTTAAAATTATTTTATGATAATCACTCCTTATGATAAATCTAATGATCTAAATGCAAATTAGTATACACATAATATATACAAAATACAATCAGATTAATAATAAATGTCACATCATTATCCTTTTTAGGATTGTGTAACACAAGGAAAATTTGGGCTCTAACATAGGTTCGTGCCCTTGGAGTTTATTTACATGCCAGGTTCAAAGGTTTGATAGTCTATAAGTTTCTAAATTGTTTCTTACATCATTATCCATTATAAATTAGTAAGGCACCATAATTCTTATCCATTATAGACTACAAGCAGAAATGGTTCAATTTGAGTAGGAATAATTCGCTAGCTCATGCAAAAACATGAAATCTCAATAAGATGTAGGTACTTTACTCCCTTCTAAGGGACAAAACTCAGGTGTAGAGCTCATATTATTCACATACAAGTGAATAACATATGTGACTAAAAAAGATAAAACACAGATAAGAAGAAAATTTCTTAAGTTTATTAAATTAGCCTTAGATAATAAAAAATCATTTACTAGCTTGACTCTCAAAATTCCCAATAAAGTCACCAAACTATAATAAAGTATAGATCCAATGACCTATCCCTAAACATATACTTTAAGAGTTACCATTAATCTTTTTTGTGTAAGTGCAATTTATCACCTAACTTAATATTGTCCCATTCAAAAAAAATGTATTAAGCTTGACTTAGGTATTTTCAAATGGTAAATTTTAGTCTATAAAACTATATTTAGGTTTATTAATGTAGTTATGCGTGAGGAAGATTATATCACCCTCATAACACCAATCCAAAGGATAGTACCAGTTTAATTGCAAATTATCTAAGCCTTAAAACATTTTTATAATTGACCAAATAGCTTAATTATTGAAAATTGATCTTAAAATTACTCCAATGGTTTGGTAGTAATGTAAGATAATTTTCTTACTTTTGAAGTATTCATGGAGACTAGTAATCTACTCTGAAAAGGCTTCATCATCGGATTTATTTATATTTTTTATAAAAAAATATTTATTTGTGTTAACGAGATTTAGAACTTTAGTATAAAAAATTTTTCTCTAAATTTTTCAATATGTTGGTCAAATTTAGAAAAGATTTTTTCACCTAAGAATTTATATAGATATTGCTATTTGCAATATTCTTAGTAATTTCATCATCAAAGATTCAAAATCTAATTTTTATATTTTCTAATATGTTGGTAAAATTTTCTGTCAAAAATTATCCTCCAATATGTTGGTAGGATTTTATGAAAATTATTTTTTTCACAAAAATAGGTTATGAAATTTTTTAATAGTTTAATAGAATTCATAAAAAAATTTAAATCCATGAAAAATCTTCTAATAGTTTGGTAAAACTCATAAATTCATTTTGAAGACTCCTTTTTTCTATTTAGAAATATATATATTCTTAAAAACATATTGCAAAAACAAATTATTTTTTTTCTTTTTCTTTTTCTCGCTATATTAAATCAATCAACAAATTAAAATAATAAATAATAAATAAAATAAAATAATCTAAAATAAAACAAAAAATCAATTAAATTCAAATCAAAAATAAAAAAGAAAAAGAAAATAAAAAGAAAATGAAAAGAAGAAATTGTGTTACGAGTCGAGTTAAAAATGGGTTCATACGTGAATCCACTCAAGTTCACGCAAGTCAGAGGCTCTTCAAAACAGTGTTATTTTAGCTCAGTATAAAATACATTTTTCAACCCTTTTCCTCAGATTGTCCCTGTTGCTTCTCTACTTGACAAAAAAATTTATCTAGCTTCTCTCTAAATCTTTAACCTAGAAATTCAATTGGCTAGCCAAATTCCAAAAATCGACACTAGAAAATTCAATCGGCTGCCATAAAATTCAACAAAAATCTAGAAACCTATAAAACCCATAATCCAACGTCATAAACCTTTCTAACCATTATGAACCTAGATGGAATCTTTAAACTTTTGCTGAAAATTTCAACAAAAAAAACACCAAAAAACCTCCCAAAAACCCAAAAATCCATCTAAACCAAAAAAAAAAAAATTTCCCAAAAATTCAAAGCAAAAATCTTAAATAAATTTCAAAATTCAACGTAGAATCCAACCCAAAAATCAAATCTAAGCAATTCTAGAAGTTCTAAGATTCAAACAAAACACCAACCTAGAGATCTAACTAAAACTCAAAAGGAAAAAAATTTCAATAAATTCACTTAAAACCCAGAAATCAAAACCAACCAAATCTAGAAATTTAAAATTGCCACGTTTGAATTGTTTAATATTGCTTCCGTTTTTGGTTTTGTTTCTTTATTACTCATTTCTTTCCACCCCTTTTTGTTTGCCCAATTGCTTGTCTGTTTATAAGGATTGAATTTTCTTTTCAATTTGAAAAATAAATCAATTTTCTCAATCTAATGATTTTATTTTATTTAATTTTTTTGTTATTTGGTTTTGCATGAATTATGCTCCAAACTTTCTAAAATCATCAAATCATGAATTCCCAAATTTGATCCAAGATCTTCACACATTTTTCTTTTGAGTTTTTAAACTTTCCATTTCTTTTTTTTTTTTTTTTTGATTTTCTGATTTTTTTTACTTTAACTAAAAATTAAACTAAAAATAAAATTAAATCAAAATCAAAATAATTTGTGGGCTTTTATTTCATTGGCCCTAAGCTTTCCAATTGGCCCAATTTATAATTGAAGGTCCATTTCAATTCTAAACAATTTTTTCGGACAAAATGGGGAGTTTATATTACTAATTGATATAATTGTGTGTTTGTAATTTTTTACATTTAGTGAATTTTTTTTTTATCTATGCACATACATTGATTTAGTTTAATTATGTTAAATTATTATTTTTTGTGGCTAATTAATTTTTTTATTTTATTTCTGATGACTTAGATATTTAATTGACTGGAAACTTTTTACTTGAACATTTTTATCTAAATAAATAAATGTTGCAAATTAATAGCTAGCAAAAATGTGAAGTAGGATACATAATGAATCAACTAACCTGAAATTGGAATAGAGAGTATATCTCCTGGATTTACCACAGGTTGTCCTAACCCATTAATACCCTCCAACTCCATAGTAGTTGTGCCAAATTCTGTCGCAATATTATCCAAACTCTCTCCAATTTTCACCACATATGACATATAGACTGCAGGAATACCATTGTTAACATTGCCAAAACATGTGCATGGCAATTGTATTACAAGGCTCTGCCCACTCATTAACGGATTCGTAGCATTAATCCCATTACTACTCTTAATCTGTTCTGCACTCACAAACCCACCAAAACCTTCTGATATTGAATCAGCTGTGTCAGCTGGCCGGACAGTGTAAGTTGTCGACATGTACCTTCGGATACCATCCACGCATGAGCAGGAAACAGGGACTTTGAAAATGGATTTGGTCTCAAATATTTGGTCACCAAGAGTTGTGGGAGCAATGGAGTTAGCACCTAAGATATCAGAGATGTTGGCTTGGAAGCGGTAGGCTATCTCGGAGAGCTTTGAATCATAAGGTAGGATGTAATAGAGAAGAGAGAGGCAAGAATCAGAAGAGTTGCAGGGTTCAATAGTGGATTTTGGATGAGTTAATGGAATGAATATGTGGAGCAAGAGACTTGGGAGGAGAAGAATGGGCAGAGGAACTTGTACAACTTGGGGTTGCATCATTCTTTTTTTTTTTTTTTGGTGGTGAAACTACCAAAAACATTAAAGAAATGAATCCAAGTGGTGAAAGAGATCTTTATTTCTTTTTATGTCAATCATTTAAGGCAAGTGTGGTAGGTGTAGACGACGTTAATGTGATAGTAATGGATTACTGGTCTTGGTTCTTGAGTCTTTGAATGGTAGGAGGGTGTTCGTGATCGAATCCGCTGCTAAATGGCTTTACCTTCTAATCCGAACATAAAGAGATAGAATTAGTAGTATCCGGGCCTGATATATAATTTTAGGTCGGAATCGGGTTAAGATTTTCAAGCCCAGCCTGCTCGATCCAGTCCAATATTTATATTCTATTTTATTAAACATATAAAGTATATATTTTTATTTTAAAGTTAATTCAAGTTTTTATGAAATATAGATAAGGAAAAAGGAATCCCAACAACTTCCGGAGAAGTCACGCGCCAGCGTTAAGCGGAAGCATGCTTACTTTGAACAATTTCTCTATAACAAACAAAGAGGCAAAAAAGGGTGTCGTCTGAAACTGAAACCAAGACCCTAACGCTAAAACCAGACCCAATGCGAAATCTGCCGCTAACCGTTTCCAAGCCATTCGTCTTTGCTGATGATCATCTTCATCTTCGTCGTCTTTGCGGGCACAAAAGAGGCAAAAGAGAAGCAATTAGAGAAGCTCAGGAGCTTCTCGTAAATAAGTCCTCTCTTCCTATGATTGTTATAATTATAAAGGTGTCAAATTTTCAACTATAAATGATAATCTTGATGACAACTGAATTTGTATTATTGTGTTTTGGTTTGTTAAAGAGTTTGACAGCTGAAAATGTTATCATACAATCATGTAATTGAGTGTGCAGAGGTTAAATTTCGAATTATACTTTTTTAGATGCTATAAATGACATAGCTTTCATTTGTTTTATTCGCTTTAACTAGTGGGTTTGGTATATCAGGCGCCGTGTTTGGATGCCTGTCTCCAGGCGGTTAATGTATACATGGAGTGATGAAGAATTAGTGCTTGTTACAGGCAATATAGGTGTCACTCATCTGCGGCATAAATTGAAACTTTGCAGTGCTTATCTTGGGGGTCCTGTAAGTTCTTTTTTGAAGCTTCTTGTGCTCTCTGGTATAGTTTTGGCTGGGCCTTCAAGAAAGCCATGATGGTTTTTCCTTTCGGGCCCTTTTTGGGCCAGGGGTGAGGGTTGGAACCTATGCTTGAGTTGGCAGCTTCTAAGGGAACATGTTTTACGATGCTAAATGTTCCTACACATGATAGAGGCAAAATACCGGTTCAAACAGATTGAGACATATATGTTGATACCTGTTTCTTTTTTGTTTTTCAATAAATTTGGATATGTACATCAGTGTACAGAAATGTTTTTTCTTTTATGATTCCAGTTAATAATTTTGATTCTAGTTAAACAGTGGTTATACTTTTTCTAGGGGGAGCCGCAGAGCAAGAGATGGTCATGGACAGCCCCTGGCAACATTACACAACTCCAAGGTTATGAGAACTGTAGATTATATTTGGTAGATTGATTACATCGTAAAAATGCGTATTTATTTCATAAACTTTTAGTTTTTAACTCGAGTGTTTGATACAGGCATACAGGGGAACGCGTTCCTCTGAGAATTCTCGGGACATTACCCATTGTTGTATTGAGGAGAAATGCAGGCCTTAGTGAGGTACCTTCCAATAAATTTAGTGAGCTTCATCGAGCACATAGTATTGTATTAACATCCCATGTTTCAGGATCCAAATTATTATGCAAGGATAATATCGTAGCAATGAATATTTGACCTTTTTTTTATAAAAAGAAAATAAAAAATTGGCATAACTATATCACTTAAAATATTCATTATATCCTAGTCATGTTCCTTCAAATAAAGTAGCTGCCTTGTCTCTTCATTTTCTCCCAGTTCTTGGTATAGCAATCAAGATTTGTGCCTTGGCAGAGATTGGGATAGAGCCCATTTTGCCTCTTGTATGTGAAACTGGCATATGCGGACGATCACAAGGGACCCTCATTATTCCTGTTCTGTGGAGTCTACTTCTTAAAGGTTGTCGGTTGCTTGGGGATCTTAAAATTATGTAGATATACGTCTTTAACATTTAGAGAGGGCAATAAATATGAGGAAATATATGCAGCCCAGCCACTTTCATATTTCAACTGATTATGATTGATTAAACCAACAGATTTATTGGTTGATTTTAAGGCCTCGCCGGTGGATTGAGACAGAGAAGTCTGATTTATCGGTGGATTTATTGATTGGAGCTGCTGAATGAGTTTTGCACCTACAATCTTACCGTAAGGGTTCTATTTCTTCGTGTCTAATGAAATTGACTAGGAAAAAAATGGAAGAAAGTCATTGAGATATTAAATAATCCAGAAAAGTAGAAGAGAAAGGCATGAATGGGTTACTAATTGGTTGAGAATACGGAACAGAGTGAAGGAGGGAGCCCAAAGTCAAATGGCATTGAGGCAGAATATGTTAACACACCAAGAAAAGTAATATAAATACAGAACGATAAAATTTAAAATTAAAAAATAATATGAATTTTAGTAAAAAAAATGTATCAATTTTATATTTAAATAAATACAACACATATTTAATCTGAAATAAACACCATATTAACACCCAAATTGGTTCCCATTAATAAAAGGTTAATACGGTAAGAGTAACACATAAGTAGTCTCTTCTGAGCGGCCTTTAAAATTACAGACGTTTTCCTATATATCATGTACTGTTTTCTCCGTCTTTTGTCTTTCTTTAGTTATCTCTTCCTTAATGGACATTCTCCGTATTTTATTTACAGAAAAAAGTAAGTTAGTGTAAAATTTAGGAGAGGGGTTCTTTTTCGTGTACTTTGATAAGAGATCATAGTTTAATATATAGATGTTTTACTCTCGTAAAATGTTTGAACCCTTCATGACTACTAAAGGCTAGCAACAAGAATTTAATTTTGAATTTTCTTTAAATTTCTTTTTGCTTTTGTTGGAATTAATTATTTTAGTGGTCATGTTCTTAAGTTTAAAGAACATCTTAACAGTTAAAATTTAAAATTCTTTATTCGAATATTGAGATTGATAGAATAAAATTTATCGGTAAAAAAATATCATTTTGATATTATGTAATCAAATATCATTTGTTTCCTTCCCTAAATATTTATATATATATATATATATAAACAAAGATAATAACAATTAATAGTTATGTGATTTATTAATAATTTTATTCTATAACTAATAGTTATGTGATATACATATATATATAAACAAGGATAAAAATAATTAATAGTTATGTGATTTATTAATAGAATATTGGATTATTAGTTACAATAATTAAGGTACAAATACTTATAACCTTAAATATATATATATATATAATAAAGACAACATCAAACTAAAATTGAGATAATCAAGACTGAAGTCATATTACACTTAGCAAAACCAACAAAATTGCCAATATCCTTTTCCTATGAAAATTGCATATGCAAAAATATAAATACCGACAGCAGGTAACAAAACTTTGGAGGCTTTCTATTGGAAGAACGAGAGGGCTACTCATCACCATCCAATAAAACCTCTTCACGGTTGATCCCATAGAAACAACCCAACTCTGCCCTGCTGTAAACAAGCTCAGGAGTTTTTGTTACAAACTTGAAAAAAAAAAAAAAACCAAATAACAATAACTACTATTATCTCTGCAAAATTTACTTCACTTCGCAGGTAAAGAATTTAATCCACCCAAGCTCTATCCTCATTGTCTATTTTAATGTCAGGCAGATCAATTAACTTATCCTTTGTATTTTCCGGTAGGGGCGGCGGGTAATCGACAGCATTGTCAGTCAAACGAAGATCGTGACGAAAACTAGGCATATGATTCCCAAGGCCAGACGGGCTGAAAAGTTCATCCCATGAGTCAGAAGCTGATGGAGGTTCCCAAAACTCCATAATGGATTGCTCATCCTTCCACAAATCTTTAATCGATACCTCTTTCACGGTAGTTTTGCATTCTTGGACAACTTTGTATTCCTTCACAATTTTTTGGACTGTGTTTTCTTTTATTGTTTTCTCCCATTGTTTGCTTCCTCTTCAATGGGATTAACAAAAACATCGAGCACCGACGAAGGAGATCGTTGGGTGTAGAGCTCATTGATATCTATTGAAACTGTGGATGAGTTCTTATTCTCCTCAGCCACCATCATAATTTCAAACTCACGCTTCTTTGCCTGATAAACAGCAGCAGCCTCCTCTTCAGTACAATAAGTACCAAGCCATAGCCGTTTTTTGTTGAAAGGATCTCTAATTTCTGAAGCAAACTTGCCCCAAGGCCTTCTGCGAACACCCTTAGACATGGTAGAAGATTTTCGAAGTCTTTTAGAACCGGTAACGTCATTGTCTTTTGATGACTCGAACGGGACAGCTAACCAAGAAATGTCCTTGACAACACGCTTAATACCCACAATTTGATTCCTCTGCTTGTTCATCTCTTCTTCATCGCTTGATGAATCTGTGGCATCAGGATCACTGTATATGATTCGAAGCTTCTTCGACAAATTCAAAATTGGCTCCATGATTTTCTGGTCTTTAAAAGCTCTTCACTCAAACACGGTTTTTGCTGATAGGCTAAGACCTCCAAACCCTTGAAAATAAGTAAATTTAAATTGAGGGAAAGAAAAAGATTTGGCGTATATTTGACAGACTTGATTCTCAAGAAAAATAAAAGCTCCTTAAAACCACATAAAAGAATGAAAAGGAAAGAAAATATATAACCTCATAAATTCATAAACTTGCTTATTAATTGTGATCCCAATTGAAATTTTATTTTATTTTTTTTACTATTTTAGATTGTGAAGGATTAAATCTTTATCACATCAACAGTATTTGGTTTTAGAACCCCTAATGGAAACCAATTTGGTTTTAGATATAGTACATATATGTTTTTGATTTTGGGTAAGGGGAATTCAAACTTCATAGGGATTCCTGTATCTACTATTAAGGGATTCATGTATCTTGTATTAAGTCATTTATGATCGACGATAAGTCAAGAGTTATAATCTTAATAACTTATGTACAATATATTTTTGTTTCTACATAGTCAATAGATAGGAGCAAAAAAATTTAATGAATGAAAATAATAATATTTTAGGTTCGGGAAACTATCTAATTCATGTAATAAAAATAGAATATGAAAGCATTTTCAACAATTTTGACATCAAAATCCTCCCTGTCTAATAGTAATTTTTTGGTAACAAAACCAAATTATATTTAGTGAGAACGCTTCTTATCAAACTAATAAATTTTATTGAAACTCAAAATCAACAAATGAAGATTTATATAATTGTTAAATAAAAAAATATAATATGCAGTAGAACTTAAGTCAATAATTAGACAGTAGCAAATCTTAATATATAGTATTGAGGGACAAATTAAAATTATATATATTTGTAATTTGCTATATTATTTGAATTGAAGAGTGACTATTAAATAAGAGTATATGTTCAACATGGAATGCTCATTTCTTTTAAAAAAAATTATATATTTGAATTATTCAACTTCTATATTTATGTTTACCCTATATATGTCAAATATTGATACTTTAAAAAAATGAATCTAAACAATTAACATAATTCATTTAAGGTTTTATCAAATGGAAAAAAAAAATTTTAAAGCTAACAAAGATATCAAAAGATAAATGCAGTTGATAACTTAAAAAAAAAAGAAAAAGATAAATACAGTTAATTTAAAATTTTATAAATTTTGGTACTTGGTTGAAAATTTGAAATCTTGTTTAAAAAACTAAAAATATTAATTTTTTATTTGACATCTTGTTTAAAACACTAAAAAAATTATTTTTTTTTAAGTTTACATGATTGTGCTTTTATATTTGTGACAACTTTATGATAAAAATGAGTTTTCTAGTACTTTCCATAACTCTTTATCCTTTGGCGTTTAATTAATTTTATATTGTTTTCTACTATTTAGTTGATACTTATTATTGATGAGATTATTAAATCACAAGACTTATAAAATATTCATTCAAGAGATAATGAACCTACTTATTTAAATTACAATACATGGAAAGAAGATAAACGCATCTTTATGAAATGGATTTGATAATTTCAAGTATAATACAATGACTCAATACAAAATTATTTGAAAAAGCACAAAAGTGACATAACAAAAATCATATAAATTTGAAAAAATTCAAAAAATATGTTTCATGTTTAATATATTAAGACAAATTGTAACATATTAATTTTCATATTTTAGATATATTTAACATAAAACAAGTAAAATAATTAATACACAAATTGTCAATACAATAAGTTTTCTTTTGTAAGTATCAAATAAATCAATTTTATATATGTAGCTATAATATATTAAAATTATAAATAAATATTTATATTAAATTTGTCTCTCTAAAATAAAAATCCTATATTCATCCTACAAAATTAAAATACATTTATATATAAATATAGTATAAAACTCATTAAAACCCAAAATATAAACAAATTAAAAAAATAGTATCACAAATCATAAAACTAATTGAAGTGAGTAGAATTAACATACCGTTGAAAAGGAAGAGATTGCATGCAAATGGTGTTAAAGAAGTAGCTTGTAATAAAATGAGAATGACAGGAGTTGCAGAGCTTTCCTTCAAGCTTGATTGATTACTTTATCAATTCCGGATAATATATATACTCTATTTTTTTTCTCTCTTTTCTCGTTTCTTTTGTTTTCTCGACGAAATCGTATAGCAATTAAAAGAATGAGGAAAAATGAATCTGAAACAATATAAATCAAATGAATTTTAGAAGATTGTGACAAAATGACTAAAAAAGGAATTCTATCTATATTTTGTTTATCAAAGGGAAAGAAAATCTATATAATAAATGAAATGAAGAAAATAGAATAATATAAACAGGGAAAGAAAAAAACCCATATTGATATAAATAATCAAATATGAGACATTTCTTTTTTTGCTGAAATCAATTAAGAAATATTTCTCTGTTTGTTTCCTCTGTTTTCTTCTAATTTCTTCTTTATGTTTTTTAGAATAATCGTCTTGATATATGTTTGAATTCGTCCAATAAGATATCACGTGGTACATCCAAGTCTGATTGCGCCACAACATCCAACTCCATTTTTAGGGCCACAAGCACAAAATAATTTTATAATTTAATTTTAAATTTTAAAAAAAAAATTAATAAAAATATATGGGGTCCGGTAAGATGTAAAGTTGTCACTAATGGAACTCAATTATCCCACTGTTGACTTGTGGTAAATAATGAATTAATATATAATATAAATATTTTTACATTGTATTTTTCAAAAAGATTTTGTTTGAAATTAAATAATTTTAAATATTTAAAAAAATTTACATTTAATAAAAAAATTACGTTATTATCTCATACAGTTACAACTTTAATATAAGTATCTTTAAATTTATAAATTGAACGGGAATCGTTATAGTTTACTTTGTAAAATATATATTTATAAGATATATAGAGTAAAAATATTTTTGAATAAATAAGAAATAAAAATTAATATTATATACAGGCAAAGAACTGAAAGAAGATCGTCCAGGCTTCGTCTCCTTCATTGCTTACTTTGTTGTGAAAAAAGTACAACTTCTCTAGAATAGGCTTTTATTCTTTCTTTTTTTTTTTTTTTCGTTTGTTTGGTTTTAGTAGTTTCTTCCTTTCTTCTATTTAATTTGCTTCTTAATTTTTGTTTGAATGTTTGAAGCTTTATGCTAACTATATATCTTTGTTTCTTTTCAAATTCAGATGTCTGGTTGCCCTGTAACAAAAAGAAAAGAAATTTACTTTTACACAACATCAAGTGTATTAATCTTCGGATTCTAAGTTTATCTTCTACTTTTTCTCAATTTGGAATTTCCAACCAAGATTGTGTGTTTTGTGTGTTTATTTTTTATTTTTTATTTTTTATTGTTTTTTTCACAGAAGAAACTGCATTCTTGGATAAAAAATTTAGGGCTAGCAAGTTTTAAAATTTAAACTTTGGGATTCTAGATGACTACATGAATGTACTAAGTTAAAATTTAAACTTTGTATTTTCTTTTTCTTTAAAAAGCCTCTTTTTCTTTGGTTTCCCTTGAGTTGGGCGCTTAGCGAAAATGTAATTCATGGCAAATATAACTAATCCTCTGCATAGGGTTGTTAAGTTTATAAAGGAAGATATGTTAGGCTGGCAAGGCCTAAGGTCTCTAGGTTGTAAGTGGTTCAACAACTCCTTTGCAAAAAAAAAAAAAAAAAAAAGGCTCAATCGGCTTTAAAAGTTCAACGCATTTCCTTAACAAATCAGCTGGCTGAAGCACTTGCAAAAGGTTGTTTGCAGTTTTTTTCTTCCAAAATTGATGTCACCAATGGATCCACGTCCGACGAGGGTGTTGGGAGGAAATCAGATTTGAAATCCAAACATCACAGATAAAAATTATCTTGGACATGATCGGATCAAATTTTTTTAAATAGCATTAGATGATGTTATTCAAATAAGTATACATATCATGTATTTAAATCTTATCAATTTACTTGCACAATCTATAAATACATATGAATGAAACTTTCGCAGCATACCATTTATTGTCCAAATTCTATTTGCTTCCATTTTTTTGATACATTGACTATATCATGTCAACGCATATGCTTAAACTATTCATTAATGTGAAGATATTATTATTTTAACTTACGAAATCATATGAAAATTTTTAATGATTTGTTGTTACTTGAATTGTGTGGGTTTACTGTTGACATGATAAAATAATTTATTTAATATATATTTTTTAAAAAACTAAATTTAAGATTATCTTTATCTTACCAACAAAATATCTGATTTAATTATTGAATACATATCATCTTAAAATGTGCCACGTTATTTATGTAGGCTTGTCAAATAATAAAGTGTCACATTAATGTCATGCCATAAAAAAAAAATGCCATGCCATATTGATGGGTATAAATTGCTTCTAAACCCTTGTTAATTTAGGGATCATTTAAATGATGGAAGATTGATTTTAAAAAGATTAAAAACAACAATGAATATGATATTAGTTATTGTAATAGAAAAATTAAAATTAATGACAAAGATATGTATTTAGATGTAAGTGTAATAGTGACAATGCACTATAATAAGAAAATTTATTATTAAAGATATTAAACTAAAATTTATATATAATAATAAATTTTAATTTAATTAATATTTACCAAATTTATTTATTATATAAAATTAGTTGAGAAATAATAAAATTTATTAGTAAAAAATAATATTTATTTAATTTATTTATTAATGTATTATAAAATAAAATTTATTCATTATATTAAATTAATAAATTTACTTTTATAAATTTCAAAGAAAAAAATAAAAATGTTACGGTCAAAAACAATAAAATCAAAATGAGATAAAAAAACATTGGTTCAATTAGCATTAGAACAAGATGTAGGGGGCAAAAATGATAAAATAAATAAATAAATAAATAAATAAAACTCACCGACACCACACTACACCAAAAATGGTCAATCAGTGACCAGCCTTCGTTGGCTCGTGTCGG